GGCCAGCAGCAGCAATATCAAGGGAGGAGGGCTTATTCTTTTTTTTTCTTCTTTTTTTTTTTTCTTTTCTTTTTTTCTTTTTTTTAATATAAAGAGGGCTTATTCTCGTTACCCTTTGTTTCATTTTTTCACTTGTTTGTTTATTTTTAGATCGGGGGCTTTTATGCGTTTTCACACCTGGAGCGTCCACGTGTCATAATCTCCTGAAGGAACGTCTGGCTTGGCTGAACTGGAGGGGTTCTCCCTTTCCCTTCCCCTCTCTCTCTCTCTCCCTGTCCTTCCTGATCCTCTCTTGTTTACCCCCAACCCTTCCCCTCTCCTCACCCTCCCTTAGTCTTTTTTTTTTTTTTTCTCTCTTCCTCAGTCTTTCTGTTCCTCTCCTTTCTTTTTTTTTTTTTTTTTTTTAACTTGCAACTTCATTAAAAAATCGGGAAACGGGCCCGGCGTCCCTCACATAGATGCTGCAGCCGTCCTGGGCTAAGAAAGGCACTCCCGGCCAACCCTATCCCTAACCACAGCCCTCTAGCTGCCGAGACCCCGGCCCCCCGGCCCCCCGGCAGTCCCAAGTTGCTAAAAAAAACAAGAGAAAAAACGACGGTCATCACCTAAGCACAAAGAAAAGTAGAAGTCAAGCCCTATCCATTACTCAAACCCTATTTACTTCTAACCAATCATCAAAAGCCGCGCGAAAACCAATCGAAAATTACTCAAAACTACTCAAACCGTGACCGGTGGTAATTACGAAAGACTTTAAAACCTGGAACCACGCCCGGCGTCCCTGACATCAAGTCTACGGCCCAATTAGGGCGGAATAGTCAACCAACAAACGATCCACCAAAACCCAAACAATCCAACCCTTAGCTCTCCTAACCAGGCCAAAACCAATCGAAATCACTCAAAATTACTCRAACCCTAACCAATACTAATCACCATTAGGAAACAAAGAACAGTTAATTTCCCCCGAAGCCCTATCCTAAACCTCCCGAAATCCAACGTGTATCGTGG